AGAGAACAGTTTTTCCCCAATTTCGCCGCAGGTAATATATGATCTCATTCTCCCTTATGTATTTTGTCTCCGACAATCGAATTCTTTGTGTTTCTCTTTGTCCTTTTTGTTCTCAAATTAGTAATTTGATCAATTGGGTTTTTTCATTTCATTCGCTTTGATCTTTTCGATTGATTGCGTTTTCCACAGATCTATCTTTGATCAGGAGGAGGAAGATATGATTCGACTCAGAACATACGCAAGCTTTAGTTTTGTAGCGACTTTGGCTGTGATTTATCATGCTTTTAGCAGTAGAGGCCAATTTTATCCAGCGACGGTTTATTTATCGACTTCTAAGATCAGTTTGGTGTTGCTTCTCAATATGTGTTTGGTACTTATGCTTAGTCTCTGGCATTTTGTCAAATTCGTCTTCTTGGGATCACTTAGGGAAGCTGAAGTTGAAAGGCTAAATGAACAAGCATGGAGAGAGCTTATGGAGATTCTCTTTGCTATTACTATCTTTCGACAAGACTTCTCTAGTGGGTTTCTTCCTCTGGTTGTTACTCTTCTTTTGATCAAGGCTTTACATTGGCTTGCTCAGAAAAGAGTTGAATACATTGAGACCACTCCTTCTGTGCCTAAGCTGGCTCATGTTCGTATTGTCTCTTTCATGGGTTTCCTTCTTCTTGTGGATAGTCTCTTTATGTACAGTTCTGTACGTCACTTGATTCAGTCGCGGCAGGCTTCGGTTTCTCTCTTTTTCTCATTCGAGTAAGTCGCTTTTTGCTGCTTTCGTTGTGTTATAGGTTTCTGTTTGAGCTCGAGGAAGAGCGGTGTAATATTTTCTGTTACAGGTATATGATACTGGCGACAACTACTGTTGCGATTTTTGTCAAGTATGTTTTCTATGTCACTGATATGATCATGGATGGTCAATGGGAGAAGAAACCAGTTTATACTTTCTATTTGGAGCTTATACGTGACCTGCTTCACTTGTCGATGTATATCTGCTTCTTCTTTGTCATATTCATGTAAGTTTTCCCATCCATCATTCTCGAATTGTTCGAATTATATGATTTCAGAAGATTATAGCACAGAATCAAACATATGTACTTGTTGGAAAAGTTTATATGTTGAGACTTGGGAGAAGAAGCTTTTATCTCTCTCTTTTTGTCGTCTCATGTCTTTCATCGTCATATATGATTTTGGTACTGTTGTTTTTGTGTATAGGAACTATGGTGTACCTTTGCACTTGTTACGCGAGCTCTACGAAACTTTCAGGAACTTCCAGATTCGTGTCTCAGATTACCTTCGTTATCGTAAAATCACATCCAATATGAACGAAAGGTTTCCTGATGCTACTCCCGAAGAGCTTACTGCGTAAGTTTCAGATATCCCATCTATTTTGTTATGACTCCACTTCTGATTTGCTCGTTTGGATTATGGTTGCCTCTTGGGGAATCTTATGCTAGTGTTCTTAATCTCTTTCCAATATGCAGAAGTGATGCCACATGTATCATATGCCGTGAAGAAATGACAAACGCAAAGAAACTAATATGTGGGCATCTCTTTCATGTGCATTGTCTTCGATCATGGTTGGAGCGACAACAGACATGTCCTACATGCAGAGCACTTGTTGTACCTCCTGAGAATGCCACATCTACAGCCGCAGGTCAACGTGGATTACACCAAGGTTCTCAAAATGGTAATCATATTGCTGCGTGTCCAAACTTCCTGTAAAACCAGTATCTTTCTTTTGTTCACTATATGTTGCGATAATTGTTTACTTTTGAGACTCTTATAATTGGGAAACATCGTCTGAGTTCAGCATTTATGTACATTAGACTAATTAGTTCTGTGCTAATTGAAGCAGGTACTTCGAACTCAGGTACCCAGGGATCTGAAACACGTGCTTCTGCTGGCGTTTCCAATGATATTTTGAGCAGGCACCACGCCAGGCTTCAAGCAGCTGCTTCTGCAGCCTCTATGTACGGGAAATCAATGGTTTATCCATCTGCAAACACTGTAGCATGGTATGTATTAATCTGCTGACTCTATGCTTGGTTTCAAGTTAGAGAACTCTTAAGGTGATTTTAGTTTTTTGAAGCATAAACTTCATACCAAAGAAGCTGTGTGTTCCACACTGCATGGTCGAAATAACAAAATATTCTGAGTATGGTTCTTAAGAAGCTTTAAGATTTTATAGATCAAAAGTTCATCTACAGTTTTAGTTTCAACTTTTTTTAGTCTCACTTTGCATATCATTTCCTCTTTAGTCCCTTTAGATTTTCCACAATGTAACACTCATGTGATCTCTGTACTTTGAATTCATGCTCTTTGGCTACTTTAGCTTTCCCTAACCTTTCTAAACTTCTTTCAATGTGGTAGAGAGAAAAACTGACAAATATATGTTTCCCCTTTATTTGAAGGTCGCCGGGTTTTCCTGGTACAGAGCAAATGTCTGAACCACATCGAACTCATCCTTCATCTCAGCTTCCTCAACACAAGATTTCTGGTGAAAACACTCTTGCCTGTCTAAATATCGCAGAGGCTAAGCTGGACGATATGAACAAATCTCTTGAGGTATGGTCCCTGAGTAATGTATCTTATGTGAAACTCCAGAGTCAATAGTTTATAGTAGATGGTGTTTGTTCTGGTGTAGACTTTGCGAAACCGGCTTCATTTTGTGGAGAAGAAGCAACCAGAATCCAGCGAGTCCGTAAGCAAAGCAGATAACAAAGGAAAGACGGTTGCAGATGATGCGTCTGTAGATGCAGCGGAGTGAATTCAGTGAAAACGTAGCTCAGGTATGTAACTCAGGCAGGAGAGCAGATAGAGAAAGGAGAAAAAGCTTTGTGGTTCTTCTCAAAGAGACAAAAACATGATTCTCCCAAAAGTGTACATGTTCTATTATTATTCATTGTCATAGAATTAGAAGCTTGAGACGGAAACAATGGGTTCGCATTATTCAAGTGAAACTCTCTCTATATGACTCTTGAATGTTCCAGTTTCTCTTTGACAATCGATTATATTTACTGAAATGTATCTAACAGCTACCAAAGAAAAAAGATAATCCAAATCCACATTAATATAATGCTTGAAAAAAGTTTATATTTCTTGTGTCTTTTTTCACATCAATATAAATCCCTGTCATTCACATGTATGTTGTAAAGCTTTTAAAAAATTAAAAGATATTTTAGGAAAATTGAATTTTTTTGGTTTTTTTTTTAAAGTAAAATGAAAGCAGTGCTGTGATTGGGTGGCTACGTAACTTTTTAGCG